AGAGCTCAGCCAATTTCTTTGACAATATTTTGCTTTTTTTCTGGTCCTCGGATTCCCATACCTAATAATAAAGAGAATAGTGTAGGTAGTTGATAGTTACCTTCTGTCCAGTTTCAAACCCTGGACAAAAAGGCTGTGGTGTCAATTTACCATCCCAAAGTAGAACTGGCTGTCAGCCTCTCAGCCATCTCTCGATCTCTACCTGCTACAGAGCATGGCTCCTGGACCTTGCCCTATCCCCCTCCAGCCCCGCGACAGTTCTGCCCTTCCCCCAGAGGCTCTTCCCTATATAGTGCAGCCATTTTGGTTACCTGCCCTTTTGTACATTTGCCTTCTTAGCTGCCACAGCTTGTTCCCCCTTGCCTTTCCTTTTCTTCCTCCCCACACGTCCCTGCTCAGCCTGGTCATGTCTACTCTGGGCTCTCAGATGTTCCGGTGTCTGGCTATGCTCTCCCTTTTATAAGCGTAAATAAACTTTCTCCTCCATGACACCTGGGAATAGTCATGTCCCTTTCCTTTTTACTTCTCTCTTTCATTCACCTTCTGTGCTTACAAATCTGGTAACGGACTCTAGAGCAGTTCTTTCTATTCTTGATTTTTGGTGCAGGTGGCAGCTCTCCTAGCTCCCAAAATAACTGAAGCTTGTGATTCACTGGAAGAGTCGAAGGCTTTGTGAATCCCCAGAAGGAAACAAAATGGGCTCCAGTAGCTCAGCTCTCTTCATTGGGAGGGAAGGTTAAATGATGATAACCAGAAGATGATAATGAAACTGCTGGAGACTTCACAAGAATTCTTCGGCTTTTAGGAAGCAACAAGAGCTGTGAATGACAGGCCAAAGAGGCTCTGTGATCAGTTTTATGATTGGGATTTTGTTTTCCTCTTTCAGTATTGCTATTAGCTATACATGTGCCATGTTGTAAGCATAACTACAATTACACAATAATTTAAAAAAACTTACCAGTCAATTATTTGATACATCTTATTTATCCTAGTCCTTTAGAAAGCAGACTGTATTTTAAATATATTCTAAAATATGATTAGAATAAATAAACTCAAAAATGCCCATGTATATTAGTTTCTCAGCACAAATTTAGTTAGACATTGAGATTTGAAAGAAAATAACTTTTGGAATGAGGTTTCCTTATATCCCAGCAGAAGAAGGTGCTTACCCAGTTTGTCGTCTTTGTGGTTGTGTTCCGATGACAAGTTGGGCATAACTTAAAGACAGTCTCTACATGTCCATTCTAATGAGAACAGACTGGAGCAGATTGTAACAGACATTTATTTCATCTTCAAGCTCAAAGCTGAGGCATTTAGTGTGGTTGCACAACTGTCTGAGAGAGAAGGCACCACTAATTTTACATTTTATATTTATTATATTACAATTATATAGCACAGAATTGGAAAAAATGTAGATACATGAGAGAAAAGCTCTGTAATTATTGTTTTATTCTGCTTCAAAGGCAGAAATTACGTGCCATCCTTTTTTTTAAACAACAACAAGAACAACAAAAATGCTTCTCTAGGTCTAGAAAGAACAGTTAACTTAGCAGACACTTAGTCCCCAAACATTACCTACTGATGGTTCTCAGTTCACCTGCACCCCACCCCTCAGTCCACTCCTTTATGATGCAGGCACTTCCTCTTTTTATCATACTTAGATCCACTAAATGCTATCTGATCAGTGTTGTAACAATGGACACTTTCTAACCGAGCTATATAGAACCCAGACTATTGTTTTTTTTTTTTCTTTCAGGTCAAACTCCTCTCAATCTGGAATTAATTCTTTCTTTAGTTTGCTTGATCGCAGAGTTTGTTATCCACCTAGAACTGCTTTATATTCAGTGTTGTAGTTTCCAACTTTAGTCAGTTAGTTAGTTCTTTCACAAGTTAAGTCTTGAAGGCCCTCTCTTACCGTTGTTGGGAAGCTAAGAAGGCTAGCTTCAGGGGACTGATGGTTGGAGGGATGGTTGCCTGTGTGTAGCAGGCAAGACATGATGAAGGATGAGAACAAAAGACAGTAAAGAAAAGGAATGGATTCCACAAAAGTCTAGAGAGGTTAAGGATGCATGTGGGAGGTCAAGGGGCAATAAGGAACTCTACTTCAAGTGCTGTGAGGGAGAAAGGCCAGAGGATGAAGGCTTATGGAATTCATCCCAAGGGCACTATCCCTTGCATTATTCTATAGGGATCATGCATGGGCTAGATTAAAGAAAACACTCATGAAGAAGGAATTTTTACATGGCCCTGGTGTTGATCATTGGCTTTGTCATGGTCAAAACATATAGGTTGTGAGGGTAAGGGTCAGTGACATGGGGGACATGTTACTGTAGCACAGTCTTGTGGTGATAGAAAGTTCTCAGAAGCTGAAAGAGATAGCTGGGGTTTCCAACAGCATGGATCCTGAGATAATAATTGTGTTGAACTGATTTGTGGTGCCACCTTTGCCTCAACAAGGAAATGTAGGTGTAGATACTGAAGGAGCCCATGCATTCTGTCAAGTCAATTTTTGGACACCCCTGGTCCAGACACTCTTCCCCCTCCTTCAGTCCTGTTCAGCTGCTGTGTTGCCTTGTATTTGTTCTCCCTTCAACATTTCCTTTTCTTGGTCCCCTTCTCACTAGAGCCTCAGCTATGTCACTCTTCAGTCTCTCTCTCTCTCTCTCTCTCTCTCTCTCTCTCTCTCTCTCTCTCTCTCTCTGCCCTGTGCTCTGCAGCGTCTTGATAAGGGATACATGGATGGCAACACTTTTTACAAATTCTTACATACCCCCAATCATCTTTTTTCTATTCTTACAGATGGAAGACTGCTTGTAGAATTGTATGTTGGAAATTCTTCTTATTCAGGATTTTGACTTTGAATTTTTTCTGTACATGCTGAGAAGTCTTTTAACTTTGTGCTTCTTGCCCTTGAATCTTCAGTAGTTCACAGCATTCTGATGCCTGACACTGGCACTGGTCTTGTTTGGTCATTTTCTGAGAAGCTAAGGATATTTTCAATCTAGACATTAATGTCTGATAGTTCTATGTGTTTTTGAAATTAAAAAATAATACACCTTTCCTATTTGATTTTTTTCTCTCGTCTTTGGAGCCTTTCCATTTTTAAAATTGAGCCTCTTAAACTAAGTCATCAATTCCCTGCTTTTTTCCTATTTCCCATCTCTTAGCTTTTGATTTACTATTTGAGAGATTCCATTTCCTGTGTTCTTTGACTTTTCTTCTGTTTAGAATTGTATTATTGCACTCTTGATAATTTATTGTCTCATTATCTTTCAAATATTTTTATCTTGTCTGTTTTTCTTGTCTTTCGATGTTATAGTTTGCATTGCTTTCATTATGCTAGAGAATTTCCTTAAACACTGGAGTTTCTTTTGACTTCCCAGTCATACTTAAAAGTTTAGGTATTAAACCCCAAAGCAAACTACCTCATGAGTAAAAGGTCAGCATGCCTGAGTTGGATTTATTTACTAGTTGGTTTCATCCCCTAGGTTTTGCTTTTTGCTCTTTGTCCTCTCTCTCTCTCTCTCTCTCTCTCTCTCTCTCTCTCTCTCTCTCTCGCTCTCTCTCTCTCTCTCCTTGTATGTGTTTGCAGTGGGATACCACTGAGATCACTTCTTTCTCTTGTGTGTGTGTGTGTGTGTGTGTGTGTGTGTGTGTGTGTGTGTGTGTGTAACAAGGTACCCTTGATGGCTTCTTTTTAATCTGTGAACTATGCAGATGTCTCAGAAAAGAATTTTCAAAAAGAAAAACATCAAATATTAAATGGGGAGTGGGAAATTATCTCCCTGTTTTAGCCTCTATTTTTTAAAGAAAAAAACCTCAGCTGTCTACAGGGTTGACGGGGCAGCTCATGACCAGAATTGTTTCACAAACAGAACTTCCCACACAACATCCTATTTATGTACATGTCTTTATCTTCTACTCCTTATTTGTGAGCCTTTCTGGTGATCTGAGGATACAAACCAGCTTTCTCTGGGCTTCCCCTTAAATTTGGCTTTATTAGATGCGTGCTGTGACTCACCATATTCTTATCTCTTTAATGAAACTCTGTGGCTGTTATCTTCAGTCTGTCTCCTTTACCTATAGGGTCTGCTGATGTGTTCAATCTAGGTGGACTTGAAGAGATGGAATCAGGAGTCTCTAACAGGCCACCTCATCCTGAATAGAGCAGCAATATATTCAAATATTGCCATAAGTCCCAGGAGGAAAACAAGCCTCAGCTTGCTTTCTGTCTCTGTTGTTGTTACCATATAGAGAGTTCCATGAATACACGTCTTTATGGATCCGCCTCATTTTGTCTAACATCATAGCCAAGCTTCACAGTTACTTCCCACACTGTACTTCCCCTGAAAACAGTGTTCTTTTGGCATGCATTAGCATTTCCCAACAACCTTCTCCTAGCTCTACAGCCACCAGATGGATTCCAATTCCTCACTTCTTTCCTGGGACCTAGCTCAGTGATCCTTTCAACTGAGACTACATTTGAAGAGAGTTCCAGTGTCAGGATGACACCCTATGAAAGGCCTTACCATCCAGGGGGAGCAGAAAAGATATGTGACAGATAAGGTTTTAGGTGGGGGGGGGCGGGTAGGATGGGTAGGAGAAGGGAAATAGGATTGTCATGTAAAACAATCCTGTTTCTAATTCAAACAAAAAAAAAAGTGTCAAAAACTGTAGTACCCATACCTAAGGTAACATTTCTTAAGAAAAAGTTCACCAAGAAAGATGCAAACAAGGGCTTTATCACTATATTAGTTTGAGAAACATCACTGATGTCTGTTCCAAAGTTTCTATGCTCCTTGAATCTTAAGCTCTTCAATGTAATAGCATTTTGCCTTAGCATAATGTGTTAATAAGAGCTAATCAGGTTAGATTTATCCTCCTGTTTATTTTCTTTACCCAAAGCCAAACCCCATCAACTTTCCATCTTTTTTATGATAAATTCCTATCTCTTGTCTTCTTTATCAAATTTTTACTAAGTACCTTCCATTTTTTCAGGTAAAGTTCATGAATTTATTATATAGTGAAAAATAACTAAACTAGTAAGAGCTCAAGAAATTTGCTAAAGTGCCTTGAAAGGTGGCGGGAGCATTGGATGTAGTGTTCCTGGTTCTGCACCAGCCTCCCCAGGACAAGCATTTAATTTAAGAGCTGGTTCTCTGTGGATTGCAGGGACACTGCCTGGAATGGATAATGTGGTGACTAAGACACAGAACTTCTCTGTAGCAGAAAAAGCAACAATATTTGCTCCTCTGCATGAGGGACAGAAATCTATTTTTATAACCATAAACTAGAGATAGTCTCACTTCATATATTTATATGTAGTTTTGAGGGGGAAATTTGGAGAATTTCTCAGTATAGGGTGCAAAAGTCTAAGCTCTTGGGAGTAGTTACAAAGGATTCTTTTTAAGAAAGAACATGACTTTAAGAGGGTGGTAAATATTATCCCAACTTCATACATGAGGTCAAGTCTGATCCTATTAATGAAATATAGCACAAAGCCTGGGAGGATTTTCAGAACTGGTATAGAATAATGCACACTGGAGACTTCTGGAGGGCACTTGAAGTCTCTGTGGACTGTGACCCTTCCTTTGATGCCTCCTGTGGTCACTCAGGCTTTGTTTCTCTGCCTGCATCCATGAAAACCTATGCTTGGCCTTATCCCTTTAGCATTTTATAATGACAACCAGTTTATTAATGACATATGTTTGTTAGTGTTTGTGACTCTGGGCATGCATACTCTTTAACGCTGACTGGGTGATCCCTTTACCACTGAGTCTCACTTCAAGTCACAATGAGATAGATTCAAAATGGAGCCCTGTATAGAAAGTCACTTGAAAAATGAAGACCATTTAAACTTCAAGAAGAATAGGATACAATCAAATCTAATGAATTAATTGAAGTGATGGTATTAACCATCAGGAAAACAAGTCATATTTCATGATAGAGACATATAGTTGGAAAGACATAAAAGTGATAATGTTCAACCGATCATACAATGTCATATGTGTTAACCTATCAGGTCTTTTTTAATGGATGAATTTCTTACACTGACACTATAATCTTCTATAACAATAGCAAATCCCAAAACAATAAGGAAAATATCTGCCTATACATGCTAGTACCAGGACACTATGCAAAATGCCAACATTTTATATATTACTTACAACTGTATGTTTTCATAAGAAACTAATTATGTGTGAAAGAAGACTAGACAGAAGGAAATTGATTGATTCATGAAATGCATGGAACCATTCCAACATATTTCATGAGCCTTTCATTTTTTTTAATTTTTTTAAAGATTTTATTTATTATGTATACAACATTCTGCTTCCATGTATATCTGCACACCAGAAGAGGGCACCAGATCTCATAAGGGATGGTTGTGAGCCAACATGTGGTTGCCAGGAACCGAACTCAGGACCTCTGGAAGGGCAGTCAGTGCTCTTAACCTCTGAGCCATCTCTCCAGCCCGAGCCTTTCATTTTTAAAGGATCATA